CTGTTTGGATTTTTTCCCTGTTCATATTTTCAATTGCATTATTTGGGTTTTACTTATTGATTTATAGGAATTCCATGTATATAATCAATATTGATCCTTTGTCGTCCATGTAACAAATGTCTTCTACCAATCTGTGTGTTGGGTTTTGATTTATTTATAGTGTATAGTTGAACAGGAGTTTTTGCTTTCTAATGTAGATCAGTTAATGTTTTCTTTCATGGTTTGTGCTATTTTATGTTTTTAAGAAATCTTTTTTTTTTTTTTTTTAAGAGAGAGGGGAGAAAGGGGCAGAGGGAGAGAGAGAGAGATTCTTAATCGGCTCCATGCCCAGTATGGAGCCCAATCCTGGGCTTGATCTCACGACCCTGAGATCATGACCTGAACCAAAATCAAGAGTCAGACGCTTAACCGACTGAGCCACCCAGCCACCCAGCCACTAATTTTTTAAGTTAAGAAATCTTTTCTTAACTCTTAAGTCATAAAGGTTTACCTTTATATTGTCTTCTGAAAGTTTCAACATTTTGACTTATGCAATTAGTTCTTTATACATCTGTAATTCACATTTGTATATGATATGATAATGGAATTTCATTTTTGTTTAAGGATAGTCCATTGTTCAAATATCATTTTTTTCTTTACCATTTTTTGTGACTGAAGTATAGTTGACACACATGTTACATAAATTTCAAGGGTACAATGCAGTGATTTGACAAGTCTCTGCATTATGCTCTGCTCACCACAGGTGTAGCTATCACCTGTCACCATTCAGTGCCTCCAATACTATTTTTTTAAATTGTCCATTCTCTCTCACATGCTAAGTTTCAGTGTGCATATGGATTTTTTAGATGAAAAGCTGTTTCATTATTTATTTATTTTTCCTAGTCAGTATTACCATATTTTCTTTATATTATCCTCATATCTGATAGGGCAGTTTTCTCCCCCCCACACCTTAAAAAGTTGCTTTCCTACTTTTTCAAATTGCTTGATTCCTATACCTTTACTGTGAAGTTTAGAATTGGTGTGTTAAGTTCCTTGAACACTCTTAATGGAGTTTGGTTTAAATTTCATTGGATTTATAGTTTAAATTGATAGAAATGGTCTTCTTTAAAATATTAAATATCCTAATCTATGAATAAGATATCACACAGGAGTAAGGACAGAAAACAAGAACTCTTCCAAGGTGTTTTAAGCAGAAAGGAATTTGATGCAGGGGCTTAATTGCTGGCTAGGTTCCTAGAATAAGTATGTATTTGTTTTGTTTGTTTAGTTTTCAAATATATGGGGGCAGGGATTAGCTATTTTTTTTCTTTTTTCTTTCTTTTGCTTTTGCATTGTCATCAAAGAATGATATATATTCTTTAGTGTTTGTTGAAAATATCCTCTGTGGCTTACAGGATCATCAATTTTAATGAATGTTTAATGAGAGTTTGTGAGGTTTGATGGAGGGCTCATTCTCACCACCCTGAGATCATAACCTGAGCTGAAATCAAGAGTCAGATGCTTAACTGACTGAGCCACACAGGCACCCTGTAACTTTTAAAGAAACTGTCAATTTTCCAAAGTGCTTTTATCATTTGCATTCCACCAGCAGTGTATGAGAGTTCTATTTCTTCCATGTTCTTGCCAATATTTGCTTGGATCAATCTTGTTAGTTTTAGCCATTCCAGTAGGTGCATAGTGGTATCTCATTGTGATTTTATTTTATTTATTTAAAGTTTTTATTTAAGTAATCTCTATACCCAATGTGGGGATAGAACTCACAACCCGGAGATCAAGAATCACATGCACCTCTGACTGAGCCAGCCAGGTGCCTCCATGTTTTCATTTCTTTCTATCTCCCTGTTGCTTTCTAGAGAATTGCCTCATAGCCACCTTCTTATCCCTTTATTTGTCTGGAACAATTTTACCTCTCTTTTAAAGTTCTAATTTTAGTGACTATTGTATTTTCATTTGCAGAAGGTTCTTTTTCCAATTCATTTCTTTTTCTTAGTGTTCCATTTCTAGACCTTCTTCGCTTTAGTTGTCAGAAATGCATATTGAAAATTACTCATATTGGCCTGTTGTTATCTGTAGTTCTTTGGTTCTGATAGTCCTGTTTGCACATCTGCTAACTCTCTCACATGGAGAGTTGTTTCCTCAGATCTTCATAACTCACTTAGTGTATATGCATCTTCCGTGGGTGTTGTTTTCTCCTGGGTAATTCCATGTGTCTCAATTGTGAAAGTGTCCCTGGCTCTGATTCCCATAGGATCCATTTCAATGGTCCTGAATCAGATTTGGTGTTAATTTATCTCTTTGTGGCTCCCAGACAGGTAACATGAATTTAGGTCCCATCTCTGGCATACACTTGGGGTTCAGTTTCTCCCACTTGTCTTTTTATTTCTTTCTGCTTAAGGCTTCAGGAAAAGCATGAGCTTCCTTGAGGGCTCCATGGTGTATAGGCTGGGGACTTTCTGGTTTCCTGGAAATGGAAGGGGCAGATCTTGAGGATCTGAGGGATCCAAGCTTTATTTTTTATTTTCTTTAGAGGGAGCAAGGGAGGAGAGGAGAGGCAGAAGGAGAGAGAAAATCTCAAGCAGACTCCACACCCGGAGCATGTGGAGCCCAACTCAGGGCCTGATCTCAGGACCCTGAGATCATGAACTGAGCAGAAACCAGGAGTCGGATGCTTAACCTACTGAGCCACCCAGGTGCCCCAAGGGATCCAGGCTTCATGAAGGAGTCTCCCATCCAACCTCCCACCACCTACCGCCCACTGGCACGTCTTCAGTCCCTATGTGAGTATTAGGACCCCAGCCCCAGCCCCTAGAGCTTCTGTCTGTTTGGAACTTAGGAAACTCCAAATTCCTCTCTTCCCCACCTGTGTTCTGAATCCATTTAGATAGATGGGGAAGTCTGACAATGGAAATGAGCATCTCACCTTTACTACAATGAAGCAGTTTATAGAATAGAGGCAACAAAAGAATTACAACACTGCCTATAACCAAACTTGGCCTCCAGGCACAGACACCATGGGAAAGTCTCAATTCTAGTAGTATAGCCTACACTCTTGAGTTTACTATATAACCTAGGGCAGATGAGAATGCACATTTTCTATAAGTGGAGAGGTACCAGAAAGGAGCAGCCAGAAGGGCTTGATCCAGACATGCCTAGCAGTTCCTTTTTTTAAACTCATAAATCACCCCTCTTCTCATGAGAAGGAAGGAGCCAATGAGTGAGGCCAAGAGTATTACTCTAAAGGAAGGAAGTTCCTCCACTGAGAAACAAGGTGGGGGGGTGTGGGGTGTGGGGGGGTAGTCAATCCCTTCTAAAGATATCCAATGTGCATGTGTCCCTGGCTTTCATTCTCTCTTTCCTTTCTGAAATCTGGTGTATACTCTTTATTTTCAGCTAAACTGTATATTTAAGACTATTTTTGGTATATTTTGCCCAGAATTTCCATGTTTGGGGCCAGGAGCTTTAGCTGTCATGTTGTTGGAAGTTCCTCTAGAGAGTGTTTTCACAAAGGAAACAGGATGGCCTATTAAAATAGGCAAGTGCTAAAGGAGAACAGGCTGATCTAGACCTCTCTCCAAGTGTTTTCTAGACTTCGGAGGTTGCACCAAATAAAAGCTATTTGCTAATATGATTCTTTCCTTTATTAACTATAATAAAGCAAACATGGGTATAGATCTCAACATACCCAAATATATGTGTATTGACTTGCTGAGTCTAGTAGGTAAGCACACTTTTAAACATGTATAATGCATGCAATTTGAATTTCTGCCTTATATGTCATATCTTGCACAGTGTCACTTACACTCTCATGTTGTTTTCATTAATCTATTGTTATACAGTGATAAAGGTGCAGCTTCATCAAAGTATATCTTTATAATGGGATTCCTTGAAGATATTTGAAAATAGTTCATAGCCCATGGGTTTTGATGAAATTGCCTTATTCAAGCAATTGCATTTTAGTTTTACTACAGTTTGTATAAAGAAGAGAGAACTTAAAAGGCATTATAAAAACAGTAGGAAAGTATGTCTCTAATTTCTTGTGCATTTAGTCTAGGAAAATACCACATCCCTCCTCTCATCCTCATAAAACAAGACAGAACCAGCACTGAATTGAATAAAAGAGTAACTTATCTATGCTGCCACATCTGATCTTATTTCTCTTCTTGGAAATTGGCATGAACATAGTTTGTCTTCAGGTTCAAGTCTTTAAGTTTAGAAGGAGAAACATTTCAATACAGTAATGTAAAATAAGTGGAAATTTTTATTGAACATTTAGTTACTTTGATAGGCATTGCCCAAACATGTGCAAACATGTTCTGTGTTTATTTTATGTAGTCACTTCCTCAATTCTCACTGGTTGCACAGTTCTTACCCCATTTTACAGATTAGGAAACATGAGTTTTCAGAATTTATTGGCGCCCATGTTATATTGTTTAAACTACCTCCTTTATCCAAAGCCAAATACAGTGTGCTGGTAGGACATATAGTAATACCCAAAGGACCTGAGGGAACAAAAAGATCTTTGAGCATTCAGTTTTAGCATCTGACCCTTGAATAGCATTCATGCTAGCATCTAGCATGCTTGAGATTTTCAAGCATATCTGCTCTGTCCATCTCACCTCCAGAGTTTACCCATTGCCTCAGGGACTTTCTTTCCCTGCCTTCTTCAGAGAAGGTAAAGGAGGGACAGACACCCAAGCAGGTTTGGAGGGTATGCAGGTGGGGAGGAGTATGAGATGGGCCCTGGAGAGGTTTCTGAGGTGACATTAGTTTCTTCCATTTCCCTTCCGTCTAGAAGCCTCTTCACTTAAAGACTAGCCCCTCCATCTTCCCCCAGATCAAGTCCAATTTTTTCTGATTTTACTTCCGTTCCCAACCTGGCTGCTCTTGATGAGCCCCGCCCACCTCTCTGCGCCCGCCCCTCCGTGACTACGCCTCCCTCTAGGCTCCTTCTTCGCCGTAAGTCCCAACAGCTTCCCGTCACGCCTCTGTTCCCTGCCAATCACGCTGGACCACCCTCTCGGCCCGCCCCCGGAACACATACCCAGCAGGTCTGAGGCCTCCCCTGCAGGCAGAGGAGCCCGGGCTGTGGAAAGATGGAGCATACGTCTGGCGGCTTCTCCGGGGAGGAGTTCCAGAACGCTTGTGAGGAGCTCCAGCAGTTCGGGCGGGTCGGGAACGACTGGCAACTGCTGATGGAGCACGAAGGCTTCAAAATCTACAGGCGCCTGGACGAGGTAGCTTCCGGCCCTCTGGAGGACGCTGGGCTGTCGCTCGCCAGGGCCAAGCCTCCCGGGGGGAGTGCGGGGCTGTAGCCCTGGAAGTCAGGGCCTGAGCTGGTCACGCAGAGCTGGGAGGAGCGAGCACGGGGGCAGTGCCTGCAGCTGACTTTGCTCCCTGGTTGGGAGGTCATCCAGTCCAGCCTCAGTTCTGAGGGCCAAGGTGGGAGTGGACTGTTGGAAGTTAAGGATAGAGTTAAAATGTGGTCAGCTGAGTCTCGGCCCCCTGTACTTGCGTGCAAGGGACGTGGATCTCCCGGGTGGGTGCCGCTGGTGTGTGTGTGTGTTGGTGGGTAGGGCGAACCTTAGGGTTTGCATACAGGTGGAGAGGAGACTGGGCTTTTCGGAGACTAGGTTGGTGTGCAGGGTGACAGTGTGAGTGCGGAGCAGCGTGCCTGAGAAGGGAGCTACTATCATCTCATTTTAGTGGCTTCTTTTCGCAGCTGCCCCTTCTTTGCAAGGTGCACTTTATAATTTAGTCTGAAGCTTTAGGGAGAAAGATTAACTTAAAGGGTAGAAGGAATGGAGTTGGTTATTAAGCAAGTCTCCAGGCGCTCCCGGAGGCCTTTGAACCCAGGTAGCTAGCTATCCAGGTGGAAAGATTGCATTGCGCCTGAGATCTGTCAGTTACACCGTGTGGTAGCAACTGCGTGGCACACGGGTTAAAAAGTCACCTTTAGGCAGGGTAAGTGAAATCAAGGTTTCCTGGCAGAGGAGTAGGGAGGCATTCTGAACGCGTGTGCAGCAGAGCCGCCGGGTGTGACAAGATGACAAGAAGCTCACAGCCCAGAGCAGGCAGAATTAATTTCTGAGTGTAATTTCAGTTGTTGCCTTGGTGCAGAAGTGGACTTCTTTTCAGACAAAATCCTTTATTCTTCTGACTATTCCATTTTCCTTACCAGCCACATCCAGGCATTTGCCAGGTTTTGTCAATGCGACTGCTCAGACATGGCTGATGTCTGGCCCCCTTCCCTTCCCTTTTCTTTCCTTTGTGGCTGCCACTTTGGATGGTACCTCTCACCTAGAATTGCAGTGACCTCCTTAACTAGTTTCCTGGCCTTCCACCTCTGATCCCTTCCCTCCTGCACGTTACAGTCTGCTCAAGCCCCTGAAGGAGAGGCTGTGGTCTTACCACTCCCCTTTCAGTGGCACTGTTGGTTGCAGAATTAATGCTAAGAATAACCAGTGTCATAGCTCACGCGTGGCCTGCTTTCTTATGTTCCAGGCACTGCTTAAGTGCTTTACAGGTATTGACTTACTCAATCGTCACGTCAGTCTTTTTATTTTTAATTTTTATTTTATTTAAATTGAAAGTAGTTAACGTATGGTGTATTATTGGTTTCATGAGTGGAATTTAGGGATTCATCACTCACATTCAACACACAGTGCTCATCCCAACAAGTGCCCTCCTTAATACCATCACCCATGTAGCCCATCCCCCTACCCACCTCCCCTCCAGCAACCCTCAGTTTGTTCTCTTAACTACAGACTTTCTTATGGTTTGCCACCCTCTCTGTTTTTATCTTATTTTTCCTTGCCTTTCCCTTTGTTCATCTGTTTCGTTTCTTAAATTCTCATGAGTGAAATCATGATATTTGTCTTTCTCTAACTTATTTTGCTTAGCATAATACACTCTGGTTCAATCCATGTTGTTGCAAATGGCAAGATTTCATTCTTTTTGATGGCTGAGTAATAATAGTCCATTGTGTATATTTACCACATCTTCTTTATCCATTCATCAGTCGATGGACATTTGGGCTCTTTCCATATTTTGGCTTTGTGGATAATGCTGCCATAAACATTGGGGTGCATGTGCCCCTTCCCATCAGCACTTTGTATCCTCTGGGTAAATACCTAGTAGCCTCACGTCAGTCTTTTTTTTTAAGGATTTTATTTATTTGACAGAGAGAGACACAGCGAGAGAGGGAACACAAGCAGGGGGAGCGGGAGAGAGAGAAGCAGGCTTCCTGCCGAGCAGGGAGCCCGACGCGGGGCTCGATCCCAGGACTCCGGGACCATGACCTGAGCCGAAGGCAGACACCCAACGACTGAGCCACCCAGGTGCCCCTCACATCAGTCTTAATGTAAGATACTGTAATGATCACCTTTTAACCTCTACGAAAGTATGTGGAGAGGTTAAGTTGATTGCTGAGGGTTTGAATTAGGATCAGAGCTCAGCTGTCCACTTCCAGACCTGTGCCATAAATAGGCTCCTTCCTGTGTTCCCTCTCTGAGAGAAGGCAAATGCTTCCAGGTAGGCTATACAGATCTTTCTCACCTTATGATGGGTTTACATCCCGATAAACCCATCATAAGTTGAAAATGTTATAGGTCAAAAATGCATTTAATACACCTCACCTACTGAACATCATAGCTTAGCCTAGCTGATCTTCACTGTGCTCAGAATGCTTTCATTAGCCTACAGTTGGGCAAAATCATCTAACACAAAGCCTGTTTAATACTAAAGTGTTGAATATCATGTAGTTTATTGAATAGTGTACTGAAAGTGAGAAACAGAATGATCATATGGGTGCAGAGCAGTTGTATCAGTTGTTGACCCTGTGGCTCACTGTCCCTGCCCAGCAATAGGAGAAGGTACCGTACCACACTTCACTAGCCCTGGGAAAGATTGAGATTCCAAATTCAAAGTACAGTTTCTACTGAATGCATATGGCTTTTGTGCTTTTGTAAAGTGGAAAAATTATAAGTTGTACTGTCAGAAATTGTTGACTTTCTGTACTGAACTAGTTGGGTCCCAACTTACATTTCCAGCTTTATGTCCCTGACTGATCTGCATGCCCCCTGTCCTCTAGCCAACCCAGACTCCTTTACCCCTCCAATGGACCTGTGCTCTTTTGCTTTTGTGCCTGTGAGCTGAGACAGTGACTGGCTTTGTACTGTGTATTGTTTTCATTGTGTATTTTTATGTAGCAGGCCCACTTCTCTCTGGTGGGGAGGACATGAGTGGTCTTCAGAATAGTTCCCACCCCTATTAACCATACTATATGTCTTATTTCAACCTGTTCTAGGGATGAAGGCAGTCATGGTACACTGATGTAAATTACAGGTACTCCCAGATAACTTCTCTAAGTTTAAAGGGCCATGGGATTCCAGTAGGTGTGCCCTTGAGCATCAGCAGCTAGGATGAAGGGCCATCCAGGGCCACTTTGATTTCCATCTGTATTAAAATGTCAAGAGGCCCTGTTGGGTCAGGGTATGAGCCCTTTCCTAGAATCCATACTGGGTTCTAGCTTTTTCCAGCATTATTTGCTGCCTGGCCCACTTTGCTAAAGCCTCATTTTATTTCCAGGTTGACTCAAGTCCCATGTTTTACCTTCCTCCCAGAAGGGAATTCCCTCTAATTTCTAGTTAGGAAATCTTTTCATCTGAATACCACACCTTATCAAATGTGAAATCAACTTGTCCCACACTCTGTGTAGACCTGCACCTATCTGACGCAAAGCCCTTTATCTGTCTTATGGTCCAGTGGTGTTTAATCCACCCTGCATGTTACCATTATATGTCTTTTCTTCCACCCACCCAAACCATTTTACCCACATGAGTGCATATGGCCTTGGGTCCTCAGGTCCCCAACTGGGGGTCACACCAGAAGACTGGGGCCCCTCTGTCGTCAATCTTCATCTTGATTAATCTACCTGACCATTTGTGCAGGTGATTCCAGGTGAGGTTTCTTACTGACGTCTTTGCTTTCTGGCTTTTTAAATTCCAACAACTGGGGTAAACAGAGTGGACTTATCTGGGACCCTTTAATGTTGAAGGGCCACCAGGGGGTTCCTAATTTTTGAAGGTGCTGCATTAAGGCTTTAGCCTCACCCCCATCAATATCTTTCTGCTTCATTCATCCTATTTCTTAATAGCCATCTAAAGATTTCAACTCTATTGAGATGAGTGCCTTGATCCCCCCCCTCTGTCTTTCCCCATTTTCTTGTTAATTACTCTAATTTTTCTTGGCATCTGTAAGACCCATAAAGGGAAAATGAGACTGGTAATCTGGTAAATCTTCTTGGATTACTTGAGTTTTGCAGCAGTAAGTTTACATGTAGTGCCCATGTGAAAGGGACCCTCTTTATAAAAGTATTTACCATGACTTGTGGAAGGAGCATATTCTTTTTTTTTTTTTTTTTAAGATTTTTATTTATTTATTTGACAGAGAGAGAGCACAACCAGGGGGGAGCAGCAGAGGGAGAGGGAGAAGCAGGCTCCCCGCTGAGTAGTCAGATGTAGGGCTCCATCTCAGGATCCTGGGATCATGATCTGAGCCGAAGGCAGACACTTAATGGACTGAGACACCCAGGTGCCCTGAGGACCATATTCTGTAGATGAATATCCCTATCGTAATAAAGCCAGTCCTACATCTGGATCACGTATAGCCATTTATGTTGGTCCTTGGTGAGCTCTGATGATCATCTATTATTACATGTTTTGAAAAGATTGAAATAAGTATAGAGGCATTTGAGTTTTCCACTGTAACAAATAAATTATATTTTAAAATTTAAAAAGGTTGTAGCTTTTTTTTTTTTTTTTTAGTAGATAATTCTGAATTATGTTCTTGGACAGATGGCTACTTTTGATATATAGTATTTTGATACTTTTTCATTTTCTCCTTTCCTATTAAATCACAGAATTTTTGGACTTTGAAAGTTTCTTTGAAACCATTCTGTCCAACACCCTCATCTTTTCTGTTCATTTCTTTGCTCTGCTCTGTTTGCCTGCTCTGTTTCCATCTTCTCTTTTTTCCTCCTCATGTTGTAATGTTAATAACTTACCTTTACATGGTTATTTAATTTACAAAATGCTGTCACATATAAGTTTCCTTTATCCCTATAAACCAATATGGAAGATAGGGACAGGCTTATTTTCCTATTTTACAGTGGAAATAAGACCACGAGTTGTGAAGTAAGCCACACAAGACCTCAGAACTAGTAACTAGACATGAA